AAGACTACTGAAATGCATGTGGCAAAGATACTTCTTGATTTACTCCTAAATGTTTGCTAAGTAGGCAATGATACCTATAAAGAAGTAGGAGCACAGTTATCTATCAGAAACACAATTATGCTCTGGTAGTCCACAGAAATGTATGAGAGAAGTACAGACAAGACCAAACACTGTTGCAAGTAAAAATATCACTAAAACAAGCCTAATGGTGTCATTTGTCACTGTCATAAATTAATCTCTTAGGAATACTTAAAACAATAAGACCCTAATCTGTAACAATGACTCAATGATTCAAGAAGAAAGAAGCCATGATAAAAGCTTGAAATGATGTGATGCTATAAAGTAAGTAATTCAATAACATGATGTTCAAATTTCTGCTAACATTTTTAACAGTGACAGGACACGGTATTTGTGAGGGATGGAGATAAATGTGGGTCTGAAATAAATTTGCATCATGAAGCAGTTGAGAATTAGACTCCCAGTGCTGAAATGTTAGTGACACCTTGCTAATTGACTTTTACTTCCCTGAGGGCAGAACATTCATATGCCAAATTAGGCGTGATATACTTCATGCATAACGTATAGTAATTTTACCCTAGAGACTTACTTTTAAAATGATCTTATGCAGAGTTACAGGTAGATATAAAAGTTGGAAAAAACTTCCAGAAGAGAATGATTTAAAAAACTTCTTGACTGTACTCTGGGGGCTAAGAAGAGGTCATGCTAGATACACCAGTTTCATTATCCTGAGAAGTGCACAAGAGGAACCTAGTAGCCAAACTGGAAGAAAAGGTAGAGAGTGGAGCAAAGGGGTGGGTAAAGGAAGGGAGTGGAGTGGGAGTTGATGGGGAGGAAACAGAGTACAGTGTGTAAAAAGGAATGAAAAATAAAGTAGAAACTTACAGAACCAAACAAATTTGGAATAAAAGGAATAAGTGGAGGTTTGAAAACGGAATAAAAAGGACCAAAAAAATAAACAATGAGACAGAGATGGCAGTAAGAACACAAAACAATTAAATTGGAGCTTAAATGTCCCTAAGCAATATTGAATCAAAATATGTGAACTGAAAAGGAAACTAAGAACGTGGAAAGTGTGACATATTTTAAAGTGAACACATTAGAAATAAAGATCACAGCACTTCAAGTAGAGGTAGATATATACTGATTTCCACTACCAAAAGTATGTTATTGTTTTTGTACATGTTGCACCTATAACTGTTTGGTAGAAGGGCAGGCAAAGTATCATCTTAGAAACTGGATCAAATATATTGGAAACTAAAGAGAAATGATATGGAGAAACTGAATCTGAATAAGACTGGGATAGAGGAAAATTAACAGTGCTTGTCACCCAATTGATTCCCAATGACTTTACAGTATCCTGAAACTGACACCCACTTCACAAATTCCTAACTGGGCCAACAGCATAATGCTATCATTCCCTATTCTTTCTTCCCTTGTATTAAAGAAGATTAACATTTTAATATACAAAGACACAAATTACTTTGACTATTCAAGCACTGTTAAAAGTAATATGACAACTGTCCATATATAATTAAAAGCTAAACAGAACAAAAAGATGGCCCCTACCAGAAAGATGAAGGGAAGAGAAAGGATGAGAGCAGTACTGTTATGGTAGTGGCATAATGCTAAATTAAAACTTATATAGAGCAATGAAGCCACCATATGAATTTCTTAGAGCTTTTACAAAGCATCCTTTTTCCATAAAACTCAGATTGTACAACACAAGGGCTTGCAAGATGAGGCCACCGATCACACAATTAAGGGTTTTCAAGATCACATAGAAAAGGAAGGAGAGACTAGATGCTGTTGTCACTAGGAAGGCAAAGACGAAGTAGCTGTTTAGGTCCCTTCCTACCCTAAGTAGACTATGATACTATGAATAGGAGTAACAGTGTATTTCCCATTTCTGTGCCAAGTATTAGAAACCCTTCGTCCTACTTTAGAAAGCACATCTCTTTAGTTTTACCTTCAACTTAGCTAAAAGCTCAGATAAGTGAAAAACAATTAGACTTAGGGAACAAAATAACAGTTATATTAGAGGGTTTTAAAAAAAGCTCTAGTTAATTATTTTAACAAACACTTCAGGCTCAGCCACCATTACTGCAAATTCTTGCCAAGTACAAAATCAAATCCATATTTAATATTAAATCTGAATCTCATCAGTGGTAGTTCCTTAAAGTTTTCCTCGTCAAACTCGAAAAGTAATAGAGGACTACAGCTTTTGATTATGTGGCAGATCAGGTTGTAAGCCTACATGCTGGGGTCTGTAGGCTCACAACTTCCTTTCCAAAACGACAGGTAAAGAGACAAAGAACAGAAGCTAAAGGCATTACAAATTCTTCCCTGTGGATGGGACTATGTCCAGAATGAGGCAGTTAGGACTATTTACAACTACACACAATATTTCTCACCAAGGCTGAATTCAACTTTTCATTTCCCACCCAAGCAAACAAGTAAATGAGCACAGACACATTTAAGAATCTCGTTAATTTGCACAATGGATTCATTATGACTTAATGAACTGGCAGTATATATTAGGAGTTTGCAAATTTAGCAAGAAGAACAATAAATCTGATGTTTGCTTTTGTACAATATAGGTGAGCTCAAGCCCTTCTGTTCTTTTCCCTCTTGACAAAAAGCATGTGGCTTTGTTGATTTCATGCTCATACTAATACAATCTTATCTCTCACCTTTCAAAATGCCAAGTAACTGGTCTTTAGGGGATTAAGAAATTAAGAAAACTTTATGATTTTTCAGCTACTGAGCTTTAAATCTTTGAATGTGAAACACTTACAAAACTGGAATTTTGCAATCCTATAAAACCCACGACATAAGCAACAACTACCTACAGTTACTTATGGAAAAGACTAACTTACACTTCATTTTCAAGTTAATATAGTGGATTTAAAATGCATTTGAGAAGGATATGTTGTTAAATGCTCCAAATAATCTTTGATAAAAAGACAAGCACCAGCTTAACTGACCAACAATTATTTTGAGGTCTTTGGATTTATTTTGTTTTTATACTGCTGTAGTTACTGATTTTTATAAAAATGTTATTGCCATAAAGTACACATACTGTAAAGTAAGAATATGGATGAAGACGATAAAAAAATGAAGACTATTTAAGAACAAAAAATGAAGGTAGAGAGAAGGATATGTCAAAGATATCTCTTATCCCAAAAAAGTTCTAGCAATGTTTCCCCTAATTTAGTAACAGTTTTAAAAGTCTTCAGCGGCGGTGCAAATATATCAGAATATGAATATGGTAGAACCTGATACTAATTTCATCTGCACAGATATTTTTTCTGGCTCCAAAAGGATTTATGACTGAAGCTTAATTATGAGAATGGCTTTGGTAAAACAGACCACAATTTTATTACTGACCAGAGTATGCCTGGATGACAAATAGACATAAATATGACTTGCAGTTTAAATTATGGAACATAACATCTCATTTGATATCTTAAGCAGATGAATTGTGGGAGAGTACCACCACTCATCCCTTTTCTCTCCCACAAAAGCTGGTCCCCCAATACATCTCTGTATGCCTCAGTATAACCTGCCAGTTAGATGGGCCCTGATAATGTTCTCCATGGACCAACAGACAGTTTCCCTGAGGATCATATTTGGGGAACCACTGATCTAGAAAATGAGAAATGTCTTAAGAAAACAACTCTCACAATCAGTAGCAAGATATAATTAATTTTTAACATCTACAGCACACAAACAAAGCTTGCAAATTTACATTTGTCTAAGAATATTCCAAAGCAACAAGTGTCATGCTATACTTCTCAGTTTGGCATAAAAAAATAAAATAACCAGGACTCTTACCTGGTAGAGCTCTTCAAGGTTGTATTTAATAGAGGTACTACTTTGTATAGCTCTCACTGCTTCATGAAGCTTCTGCCATGTGTCCTGAGTGTAATTATCAGGCAATTTAGGTCTTTCTGCAAAGCCAAATACAGGTGGAAAACTGAATACCCAATCTACATGACTGGTTTTAGGCATCTCTTTCAAAATACTTGGTTAAATTATACCAAACCACATGTACTTTCACAGTTTAAGCTTGAAACAATATATTTTTAAAAACAAGTAATATTCCTAATTCCATGGGAGACGGTAAAAGACATTAAATGCCTTTTTAAAGATGTATATCCAGCTGTATCCAAAAGGCTCACATAAAAACTAAGGCTTTCTTGGTGATATCAAATGCGCACAGCATCCTCCTTCAGGTGTCCTTTAAAAATGTTTTTTTTAAGAGTGTGTTCATGGCTCAGGTTGGGGAAGGTGCCATTAGGATAGGTAGAGAGAGTTTAATAGTGATGTAGAGTTAAATTTTGCTTTCAAGGTAAAACAGGTGTCTTGCAGAACGGTACTTTGTGCCCAAAAGCTAGTCTAACATCTCTGCCAACTGTACTGTTGATCCAAATAGGTATCACCAAAAAAACCCATTTCACTTCTTGCATATGTCCTAAACTGTCACTGCTAAAAACAATATTCCAGCCCTACAACTTTTTTCTCTCAGGTAGCTGACATAGGAGGCTCTTGCTCCACAAGCTACTTTGCCCAGACCATCCTCTTCAGATGAATGGGCTCCTACTCAAGAAAGTGGAGGTTCTGTCCACATGGAACTTCTTGTACAACATGGACAAAGCATGTTAACAAGTAGTGTTGAGGTGATGTTGTTGCCACAATGGTCTAGAAAAAATGTGAGGGGCAAGAATTCTTGTGGGAGACCACTTTTACTAGCTCAACTGTATGGTTGAAGCTTTTGGGGATCCCAGTATCCTTCCCCAAGGCCTCTGGTAGAGCAGATACTACTTAGCTCAATTGTATCCACTTCTCAGAGGCCTGAGGAAGCCAACTGTAATCCCTGAAAGCTGGCCTCTCTCTATCCCAACCATATAGTTCAGGGGTAGGCAACATTTTTTGGCTGGAGTGCCGAAAAAACCACGTCTACCTTGGAAGGTGTCAGAGTGCCGGCATGCAAGAAAAACAAAATGAGGGTGAGGGCGGGGGTGGTATACATGGCAGGATGCACTGCATATTAAATACTCATGAATGTTGCCTTTGTTGTGTATTCCTTTTTTGTTGAGCATGTTGCAATGACAGAGAAAAAAGAGACAAATAAGAGAGAGAGAGAGAGAAAAGGAAAGCAAAGAGAGAACCAGACATATGCACACAGAGAACCACATGCACAAACACAGAGAACCAGAACACACCCAGAACAGACACATGCACACATACATCCAGAACGAGACACATGTATGTGCACACAGACACACAGGACCAGATAGAGGCAGACAAACACACAGAACCAGATGCACGGGCACGCAGAGCCGGGCTCTTGGGCCACTGGACAAAGTCCGCTCCAAGGCACACACGCACCCACTGGTATGGAGCTAATGCCGGAGCGCGGAGCAGATGTTTGCAGCCTCCTGGCTGCAGCCAGCCCAGGCTCTGGGTAGCTGCTGCCAACCACGGCAGGGCTTGCAGCCACCCAGCTGCCTGCTGGGAACAGCCCGGGCTTCGTGGCTGGCAACAGCTGCCTAGAGCCCAGGCCAGTGGTGGCATGCTGAGCAAAATGGCATTGCGTGCCGTACCCAGCACACATGCCGGAGGTTGCTGACCCGATGTAGTTAGTTGAGCCAATAAAAGATACTGCCCACATGAACATTTTCCTCTCGCATATTTCCTGGGCCATCACAGCACCTCAACGCAACTTGGACTTTTTAACACACTGTCCATGTTTGCGAGAGAATATCTCCATTTGGGCAAGCATCTCTATTTGGGCAGACCCTCCACCTTCTTCAACAGGAGTCCATCCATCTGAAAAGAATGGTATGTGCAAAGTAGCTTGTGGAGCAAGAGCCTATGTTAACTTCCTGAGAGAAAAGAAGCCATTAGGCTGGAGTGTTGTTTTAGCTGTGCCAGTTTTGGAAATACTCAAGAAGCAAGGTTTGTTTTTTTGTGGTATCTTTTATTGGACCAACAGTACGGTTGGGACAGATGTTAGACAAGCTTTTGTGCACAAAGTGCTGTACTGCAAGACATTTGGTTTGCCTTGAAAGCAAAATTTAACACTACATCACTATTAGAATCTCCCTACCTATCCTAACAGCATCTTCCCCAAACTAAGCCGTGAATATGCTCTTAACCAAAACACCTTTTTAAGCAAGGACAGCTGAAGAAGGACATGTGGGCGAACCCTTCACTTCCTTCCACAGGACTCCATCCAGTGGAGGGGGAGGGTCTGCACAAAGTTGCTGGCAGAGTGAGAGCCTCCTCCATCTACTCTTGCCTCTGAAGTTCTGGGTGCAGGGGCAGCATGTAGGCAAGATCCTCCCACTGGAAGCTGGGCCCTGGGAAGCTAATTACAAGACTTGTAGGACATCCTGCCTGCAGTGCATTGGACAGGGGTACACCCTCCACTTCACAATGCCATTTAAATCCATCTTGGTCTGGGTAACAGACCAGTGCAGTGACTATGCTTGATCTTAGCCCACAAGAGGCAGCATCTTAACTGACTTTTGGGTTGGTTGTCAGCACTTTCTTATGATAGAGATCCTGGTTTTCTCTGATAAAATCCCCAAATTTCAGTTTAATAAAAGGAACCCCAAATACACATTTTTCCATGATAAAAATGAACCACTACTAATATAATATCAATAACATATCTATCTATAGATATTTATTAGTGGTGGTTCATTTTAATCATGGAAAAATGTGAAATCATCTATTTATCCATTCATCCCTATAGATACATCTCTATCTGTAGACATATCTCTATCTATGAAGATAGAGATATATCTATAGATCAGGGGTGGGCAAAACGCAGCCTGCAGGCCAGGTGCGGCCCTCCAGGTCATTTTATTTAGCCTTTGGGGCCCCTAAAAATTTAGAAAATTAATATTTATCTGCCCCCTGGCTGCCTGTCATGTGGCCCTCGATGGCTTGCCAGAACTCAGCAAGCGGCCCTCCGCCCAAAATAATTGCCCACCCCTGCTATACATAGATAGATATAGTGGTGTTTCATTTCAATCATGGAAAATGTGGATTCTGGGTTCCTTTTTTTAATTTAAACCTAAATTGAGAATATGTATTTTTTTCAATCAGAGAAAACCAGGATCCCTGCTTATGTCCACTTGCCTTGAAATACAGAAATGCTTCAGCTTGGATGCCCCCCCACTAACTCCCCCACGAGAGCTACAGCCCACACTATAAAGTCTGGAAGAAGATAACTTATTTGAACGCTGATTTTTCCAGCAAACACCACAGTGTTTTGCTCCCGGTGCGATGGTCGCACACTGAAGCCCTGGCAGCGCGCCGACAAGCAGTGCAGGGGGCAGGGGCCTCCTCGGCGGGGCCCCAGGAAGGCGGCAGCCCCGAGGCGCGGGCGGGACGGGGGAGGCCCCTGTCAGAGGGGAGCACCCGGCCGGGACTGGGCTTGCGGCTCCCCGGGGTCCCCGCAGGGCAGGGCAGGGGCCGGGTCGGGCCGCGGGCCGCCCCGCACCCACCTCGGAAGTTCTTGATCACCAGCTTCTTGGAGGCGGCGGCAGCGCCTCCCCCCGAGCCGACACGGCTCCCTGCCAGCGCCGCAGCCTTGGTAAGGCCATTGGTGTGGCCCACCAGCGCCGTCAAGTGCGGCTTCTTGCGCGGCTCGTCGGCCATCTCCGCCAGCCCCGGCCCGCCCCCCGCTCCCGCCCCGCCCGCAAGATGGCGGCTGAGCCCTGCCCCCCCACAACGGTTGGCTCGCGCTGGGGGGCAACGGACGTGTCCCCAGATGTGGTGCAAATGTGTCTGCGTGTTGTGCTTCCACGGGCGGGGGTGGGGGGAGCAGCTGGGCTTGGCGACTTGCTGCACAGCCGAAAACCCCAGTGTTCCCAGGCACCGCCCCCTGCCCCGGCGCGTGCAGCAGCAAGCTCCACCTCCCGCGGACGTAAATGGGGGGAGGGGTGGGAAAGTCGGCGCTGCCCTTTCAACGGAAGAGAAGTAGGGGGCGGGGGGCGGAGCTAACTTTCGTCACCAGGTGGGCGTAGCCCCGCCCCCTTCTGGCCCTACCCACACGTGATGGAGTAAGAGGCGCGCCAGGGGAAGGAAGGGGATAGGGGTGGAGGTCACGTGAGGCGAGGGAGGGCGGGGCTTTTGTTGTCGCCCGGGCGTTCGGGGCGCGTGGCGGAGCTGGTGTCTCACGGGGCGGCCTGTCCTGCCCAGCGCATGGCACACATCACCATCAACCAGTACCTGCAGCAGGTAGGCGGGCGGCTGGCGGGCACTCGTTCTCCCTGTCCCCGTGTGTCTGCTCACGCACCCCGTATACACCCCCTTCAACACACACGGATACACGCACGCACATACCCAGTGTACACGCACGCATACATACACCCAATACACGCATGTGCATATGCATACACCCACTACACGCATACACACATGTACACACCCAATACACATATGCACACACTCATCCCCAGTATGCACACGCATATACCCACTACACACACACATACATGCACACACATACCCAGTATACATGCAGGCATATGCCCACTACATTCCTTGGAGTCTTAGACCATAGGCTCCCTATGCCTGATGAAGACTGACTGTGCCTGAAAGCTTGCAAAGAACTTTTTTCCAGCTACTCAGCTGGTCTACTAAAAGATAGCACATCTACTCAGAGAACCTTGCCTGTTTATGTCCTTAGACCAATGCGACTACAACCAAGAACTCAGATACCCGCCACACACACATGCATGCACACATACACATGCAGTATATACACCTGCACATACATGCACCCACACACACACCCAATATGTGCACACATGCATGCAAACACATATGCACATACACCCAGTACACACACGGACATATGGAGCCCCTCTGAAGTCTTCCTGGAGGGTGGTGGATGCATTAATGCAGGGGTGTCAAATTTACGTGGTCTCATGGGTCACAGATGTACACGGGAGTAGTCCACGGGCCACGTGAAGAGCACAGGGCTGGATCGGACCCCCCCAGACTCCGCCCAACATGCTTCTGTATTCTGAAGCTTCTATACTTAATTTGTATTGTTAAACATTAATAACATTCAGATACATTTAAGAGACATGATTCCCTGCACTTAAAATATCCTCCATTTCAGGAAAATAAATAAAATAATGAAAATGAATAGTGTATCTTTATTCTTGGAAGTGTAAGTGAAATTGTTAAAGACATGTTAGAAACTTTGTACACTTATCATCCAAAGACAATGATGATATAACATTGTTTTGTACGATCTCTGGTTTACTTTGCTCTTTGCAAGCAAGGAGAAAAAAAGGTGGTGACAGTGTTGGTCACCCACATCACTTGCAGAATTTCCATATGTATTTTCTGGACTTAAGTTATTTGGAAGTAATGCATGAAATACTAATTTTTGAAAAGTCATTGACAAGAATATACATGCATCTGCAGGAAAGTGGCTTTATTTGTTATGTGGCAAAAGGTGGCTAAGACTAGAGCTTATTCATAGCTTCATAGTTGTTAGGGTCAGGAGGGACTTCAATAGATCATAAAGTCCGACCCCCTGCCCTGGGCAGGAAAGAGCGCTGGGGTCATATGATCGTAGCCAGGTGCTTGTCCAGTCTCCTCTTAAAGACCCCCAAGGTAGGGGAGAGCACCATCTCCCTTGGAAGCCCATTCCAGATTCTGGGAACCCTTACTGTGAAGAAGTTCTTCCTAATGTCCAACCTAAATCTGCTTTCCATCAATTTGTGGCCATTGTTCCTAGTTACTCCAGGGG